CTTGCTGGGGTCCACCTCAATGCCACGAGCGGTCACGATGTGGCCAAGGAATGCCACACGCTGCAGCCAGAATTCGCACTTCGAGAACTTAGCATACAACTTCTCGCGGCGGAGAGTCTCAAGCACAATCCTCAAATGCTCCTTGTGCTGATCAACATCTCGTGAATAGACCAGAATGTCGTCGATGAACACAATGACGAACTGGTCCAGGAAAGGATGAAAGACCCTATTCATAAGGTCCATGAAGACGGCCGGGGCATTACTGAGTCCGAAGGGCATGACAACGAACTCATAGTGGCCATAGCGAGTACGGAAGGCGGTCTTGGAAATATCCGACTCCCGGATCTTTAGCTGATGATAGCCAGAACGCAAATCAATCTTGGAGAATACGCTGGCTCCTCTCAGCTGGTCAAAAAGGTCCTCGATACGGGGAAGGGGGTACTTGTTCTTGACTGTAAGGGCATTCAACTCCCGGTAGTCAATACACATACGCATAGATCCGTCTTTCTTCTTCACGAATAGGACGGGCGCGCCCCACGGCGAAACACTCGGACGAATGAAACCGAGCTTGAGCAACTCCTGGATCTGGTCCTTGAGCTCTTAAAGCTCCTTTGGCGCCACACGGTAAGGGGACTTAGAAACGGCCGGCTCCTGGAATCAAGTCAATGGTGAACTCCACCTGGCGGTCTGGTGGTCCTCCGGGCAAGTCATCAGGAAAGACGTCGAGGTACTCGCAGACAATGGATACTCGCTCGGGCACCCGCTCATCATCGACGTCGGATACCATAGAAACAAGGTAGCCTTGACAGCTACCCTTGGAGAGGCTCTTCCTAGCTTGCATAGAAGAGATGACTCGAGGCACAGTCCTCGAACTCACCCCAAAGAACACAACAGGCTGATCGGAAGCTGGATAGAGGGTGACTTCGCGCTCCTGGCACCGGATGTCGGCTCGATAACGGGTGAGCCAGTCCATGCCCAAGATCACATCGAAGTCTCGCATATCGATCACATACACACTGGCCTCC